ACATCGGTTGATGAAAAAGCAAAGTGAGAAGAGAAACGATATTTTCCGGTTATGAATGGAGGAAGAATGAGAATGTGCCAATAGTGGAAGAAGTTGTTAACAACCATCATCAATATGAGTCTCGAGTGCTTGAAACGTACAATCAATCAATCCATAATTCAAACAAGAGCGAATCCATCTGATCTGTACGATAGGCATATCCTCATCAGAATCATTTTATGGAAGAAACGAAGAGAAGAAACTCAAAATTCAGATGATTACATGTTCTCGAAACAAACTAAACGATAATTTCTTGTAAAAATAGAATTAACAACTGATTGACTGACTGGTTGTTAACATTCCTCTAGTTTTCAAATAAAAAATACAAAGATTAACACTCAAAAACACATTGTGTGTTGAAGACTAAACTGTCTTTCATCATCATCATCATCATTAGCCACATGAACATGAACGATGATGAAGATGAAGAAGTCGTCTTCAGATGAAAGGAATATTCATTCGTTTTTCACAAGAATTCGTTTCAACATCAGCTCACTTCTTTATTTGTTTAGTTTTCAGTTTCCTGACATTCGCGCTTACAAACAGAACATGCTTGGGAAAAGATAATCATATGAAGATTGCTAACTATATCATATATATGAGTATAGTATGATCTCATGAAGCTATAGTTTCAACTCATTCATTCACCTATATCGTCCACACACCATACACACACTGACACAGACACATCAATCGATTCTCTCTAACTAACAGGTTAAACCATAAAAGGATTAAAACGAATGGTGAATGGAGATTTCCAACCTTTTCATAAACACTTAAATACTTATGAAAGTTGAATTGAAAGCTAATTTAATCTTCAACCATTGATGAATCATAGACGAATTGATTCTCCACCCCCTAAATCCTAAGTATAACAGCTTCACTAGTTGGATGAGCTACAGTCAAAGGTGGAATGAACAATTTCAAAAAACTCACGGAATATCTTATATGAACGATATCGCATCATGGAAGAGAAAGGAAGGTGTGAGTAAGGAATTGGAATAAAAAAGGTTCCTTTAAAGTCAATAAGTCGGCAGAACAAAGTAATATGGGCAAGTTAAACACATTCACTGTATTATTACGAAAACTGTGTGAAGTTGGTGAGGAGACAGAGAATGGGCATGAATGCCAGCCAAACTAACAGTTAGAGATTGAAGCTTCAATCACAGAATCTTACTCAATGTAAACAGTCTCTTTTGAGATAAATGTATATGATATTGATGACAAAGGCAGCAAACTATCATCATGTAAGACATGAAATAACGAAAAACTGAAGAAAAGAGAGAAAATAGGAGAAGAAGAAGAAGAAGATGAGAAAGGAAAGACGAAATCGCAATTTGATCCAATTAACACACTTAATTGTATTTTAAAGACAAATTATAATATTTTTGTGAAATCTCATCGAGTGTTGATGAAGTGAACTATGAAGAGAAGGAGAAGAAGCAACCCAAGAACGAAAGAACAAAAAACTGAAAACGATGATGATGGAACAACTCGGTATATTGAAGCTTCTTGTTCCAGCTTTTATCAATGTGCTGTTCTCATAATGTTGTATGACACATGAACACACATAGAGAGAGAGAGAGAGAGAGAGAGAGAGAGAGAGAGAGAGAGAGAGACAAGAAGAGGAGAAGAAAAAGAATGAAAAAGTAAAGTTGTTAATGAAACAACTAGGAGACATCATTAGAAGCCATTAACATCTATGGAATTCTAACTATGAGAGAGAGATTGACAAGTAAATGAAATCATCTTATATTCAAAAAATGAGGAGAAAAATATATTTGCATGTTCTCATCATTGTCCATCTTAGAATATGCCAAATTGGTGTGTCAATAACCAGTTATGGGTACAACATGATGAAAACAGTCTTCATCATCATCCAGCAACAGGCGACATGCGAATGATGGACATAATCCACATTAAATATAATTTTTCAAACTTTAAAACAGAGAACTCTGACAACAATCGGTCATGATCATAATCATGCAACGAACATACTTCTTCTTCTTTCGTCTTGCGAAAGGACCATGACTCATGTTAAGCTTAGCTTTAAAGCTATCACAAGAAAAGAAAAAAGCAAAAGTTCGTCTTGATGACACTCCTTAAACCATATTGGGATCCGGTCCAACGGCAAAACCATTTGAGACAGTTCCGTAATGAAATTCAAACAAAATGTTAAATGGAATTGCCAAATCAACAAAGGCAACAACACAATTATCTTTTATGATTTTTTTGACAAATTCATTCCATTTTAGGCAACATAGAGAGAAAGGGGGGGGGGAGATGTAAACTAGTTTGGTTATATCGTAAAGTGAGGGAGAGTAGAAGCCTTAGAAGTTCAATTGCAAACTTTTATAATTGAATAAGTTATTTAATTATATATTGGATCCCCTTTCTGTGTTATAGATAACTACCACCCATTTTCAATCATCTCTAAGTTTTAGAGCTTTTCATAACACAACCACTTATGTACGACAACATCAAGTCCTCACTACCATTCTTTCTCTCTCACTCACACATCGTGAATGTAAAGAACTCTGATTTTTGAGGAAAAAGCATTATATAGTTAGCTGGTTATTTTCATATACTAAATGTTGTTAGCATATCAATAGAGCTTAAACCAACCGCAATAGTCACTGAAGGTAACTGTCTGCTTAGTAGCTCGCCTACGGATAGGTGGTAAGCGAGGACTCAAACATGAATCATTTAGATGATCACAGCTCTTGCTGAGACGTTTTCTAATCCCTGGAGCTGCATTATTATTACGACGAAGTGTTTTTGTACAATATCTGAAGACAGTTCAGATGTATGCTATGTACACGAGCCAGTTAATCAATAAATAGTTGGTAGTATATAAAAATGACAAAAGAAAATGAAAAGCTGACCTTGATCGATTGAGGTGCTCATCAGTGAAAAAGTCATGAGGCGTACGAGGAAGCGGCATATTGTTGAGGAATACAGAAGGCCTCTTGTACTGATGAGGATGTTCGGATGTTTTCAACGAACCAACTGATGGACCGGATAATGATGAATCTGACAGATATTTTCTTGATTTCTTCTTATCGTCTTCTACAGATGATGAATTTTCAATTAGAGAAATGCTAGAATTGTGCTCAGGCAATAAGCTGGCTGACGTAGAGCAAAAGGAGCCAGAGCACAAGATGTAACCGCTGGACGACGATGTCGACAAGGACGAGTTGCGGCCTGACGATGAAGATGAAGAGGAAGATAAAGGGTTTTCCTCCTCAATTGACCGACTGTCCATCCAGTTGATTCGTTTATGTTGATCAACAATTCCTTCTGAGACATTGCTTCCAACGGTGAGAGATTCTGTTAGCTCGCCATTCTCATTCACTTTCTCAGTATGTACCGGCTGTTTAAAAGAGACTCTTCGCCTCTTTTCTTCATTTTTTGTTGAAGCACAATCTTTTTTTCTCAACTTATGATGAGAAATTGTATTGTTGCATTTGTCAGCCGATTCAAAAGTGATATAGTCACTTGTATCATCTTCAGAATCTGTTTCTTCTATGAATATATCAACGTGAGGAAATTGACGACGTCTTGTAGTGCAGCTTTTCGAACCGCTATCCTTTAAGTTAACCAGTGATTTCATAATGCTATTCCTAGCTTTTGAGATGCTTCCATCAGATGATGGTGATAAAGCCTTGTCATTACTTTTTGGACTTAAAAGCTGCTTCTTAGAAGAATTATTCTCCACAGATAGAAGCAATGGATGTGAAGCGTAACCATCACGTAAATGTCTTGAATCACGTCGGGTTAAAACCCTAGACATTCTGAATTAAACTTATAAATTCATTTAGTAAAGAAGAGACATGAAGAGATAAAGAGAGAGAGGGAGAGATAGAGAGAGAGGGATTGAAAAGGAAAATATGTCTCATGATATGGTTGTTTCTATGAAGTAGAAGAGAAGACATATTTGTAAAGAGAACATTCGAAACGAAGAGAATTTTCAAGAAGCATCGACGTTGAGAGAGGCTTAACAAGAGAAAATAAGAAAAGAAAATGTCAAAGATTGTCAATGTAAACACAATTGACCACAAAAAAACGGGATATGACAAGAGTGAAAAGCTTAGAACTACGGAATGAGAGCAGAGATATTCTCAAAGTAAAATAAGAAAAATGTTTTTGAATAAGAATTTGAATCTAACAAAGGTTTTACACCATTGTATGTACACGAGAAAGACGTTGTGATGAGAGACACCTCAGCTATGATGAAAGCGATGAGATGCCATCTACAATCTCACAACTTCTTAAGTAGTAGATGAAGTCAAGAATGGATTAGTAATTGAGAATCATCAACAGAACAGGAGAGCTTCAATTAAATTATGAGAAAGAAGAAGAATATTGAAAGTCTCATACGAGTTGTTATCTTGAGACAATCAGATGTCGATCATTATCCAAGAAAGTGAGTAGTAAAAAGATTCTCATTGAGACAATGAACTTCTAAGCTAAAACTGATTCAGTCACGCACGTTTGCAGAACAGATTACGGTAGGACACTCCAGTAGGTAATCAGTATGGATCGTCTATGGCCAGTATAAGCGCATTAGACAATCACGTACCTTGTTTTTTCAAATGCCCAGAACAAATAGAGAATTATAAATGGAAACGAACAGTCAAAGGATATTTTTAAGAAAAAAGTCCAAAATCCCTCCTAACTTAGATGAGAATGATATTTGGTTGAGAACCAGTTCAAACACTCAACATCACTCAAATGAGAATAACTCGACTGTCTATACAGCACAGGATCAGCTCATGGCATCTCCTTATATACTACACCCCCCATATCAGTCCATACAATAAGTCCAAATAAACAAAAAATCAAAAAAAAATATTTTCAAAAACTGTTTGCTTGTTTCTTCATAATAAACCCTTCCCATGCCATGTCTACTTCGTGTTTTCATAATTCCCGGTGTTTGAGATAAAAAAAAAGAAGCGTACTGCGTCTGATCCGAACTGTGAAAAAGGGTGTCCTTGATGTTGACGGAGGAATATCAGTCTGTAGTATATCATCTTCTCTGAGGGTACGTAACGTACAACGACTCATAGTATGATAGCCAGATAAAGGCTTTTTAGGAGCAACTAAACATGACCAAGTAGATATGATTCATTTAATGTCAATTACCTTTAGTTGCGACGTTCCAATAATTAGAAAATAAGGATCTTGAGCCGTCTAGTCTGATTCGAACTTGCGATGGTCGGTAACGGATATCGTCCTGAACAAAAAAAAATTGAAATAGTTTGATAAGTTAGTTATATAATAGAGAAAACAAACATCAACACACAAGTTACTTATATGATATAGTAAAAATCAATATCTACTAACCGGCTCCCATCGATAGCAAATCAAACTTTTATCATCAGAGCGACTTATACAGTATCCAGGTTGCCATTCTCCATACTTCTTTAACGGCATGCCGTTAGGCTGGCCGTCTATAAAAAAATGAATACGTGATATAATTAATCTATTAGGGCATAGTTAGTATATAATGAGTTATTATACCAGAATAATATATATGATAAAATGTGGTGGTGAAGATGAAGCTATAGAAGATTAAAAGCGACGACAATCGAGATGTGTCAATAAGAGCAGTTGGAATAATGGAAAGATGAAAAGCAGCCGAAGCCATTGGGAACAGATTGAATTAGAAAAAATAGAAAATCTGAATAAATTTACTTTTTACTACTTCATTCTAACCTTGTTTATTGTTTTTAATATTGATTAGATGAAAGTATAATGGAAAGTTCAAAAAAGGAAAACGAGGGAGAGAGAGAGAGAGAGAGAGTGTAAGAGAGATAAAGAGAGACAGAGTATAGAGATGAGGTATGCATATCATCTCAAGCAAATGAGATCGCGATGATACTTTAGGAGAAGAAGAGGAGGAGGGGGGGGGGGATTGAAGGTATATCAGAATAATAGGAAAAGCAATCAATTGATTGATATTTCCAGAATTATTTGTTAAAACAAAATCTTGAACAAACTCGTAAACGAACGGTTGACAAATAAAAAAAAAGAAATTTTTGTTTTATCGCCCGATGCAAAAGCCAATATGAGGAGCAGCAGTAGCATTAGAAGTATCATGATGATGATGATGATGAGTTAGGAAACGTATAGAGGAGGAAGGTATGAGTATAAGATGAGTTGAATGAGAACAATTCCAAAAGACTCTGTTTCTGAGGAGAAAAAAGTTGAGGCGAATGAATCATAAAAAGGCTTCTTTCGACGTTTTTTTTTGGAACATGACCTTTGGCGATTCACATCCATAATTAGTTGAAAAGGCAAAGGTTTTGAATATGCAAATGAGAAGCGAGTTATGAAATGCATCGTAAGATTCCATTTCCCATAATGAAATGAGAGTCAGATGATAGCGTTAATTGTCAAAATAACATAAAAATTTGTCGCCAAAACCAGAAAATGAAAGTTCATCATTTCGTTTAGAAAATTGTATTTGAAGCAACGGCAACAACATAATGGAATTAGTTCATGAGAAGAAGGGAGAGAGAGAGAGAGAGAGAAAGAGAGAGAGAAGGAAGTGAGAAGGGGTGGATAGAGATGTTTCGGGAGTTTTAAGCTTAACCATCTTGATTACTTAAAGGTGATATGATAAGAGATAGATGTCTTCTCATCTTTACAGTTCTCTTTTGAAAGAAAAAAACTTATTCAGACTAATTAGAATGTCTTTGTGAGAAAGAAGAGGGTGTAACATTCAAATTATAAAATTATAATAAACTAACCGCAAACCATCAGCCATCCTTCGATTACAAAATCACAACTGCTGCTATGTTTGAGAGACATCTTGACTTTCAAATCATGGAAAGACTGAAAAGGAGTCAAAATGAGAATCTAGAGAGAGAGAGAGAGAGAGAGAGTGATGTACATATATGGAAGTGTATAAACGAAATATCAATCAATATAAAATTAAATAGAAAATGAGTTTAGTAATAGAAGTTAGAAAACATACCCAAGAAATGCATTCGACCTGCTCATTGTAAGCTGATTGTTAGAAATGAAAATGGAAATTGAAATGAAAATAGGCTACGTGGAATTTGGCGTGGCGTCTATTTGGATATGCTAATGAGGTTTTAGCCACTAACATCAACTTACAAGCAACAAAATAAACAGAAAAGACAACAAACACATAAATATATATATAATAGTTAACTATATGATATAGTTAAGAGAATGAAGAAAAAAAAAGAATTGAAAAGCAATAATGATGGAAGAGAGAAGATTAACCAAAAGGTCATATAATACTTTGCGTCAAATAGTTAAAGCTTAATATTTGTCTATGCTAACTATGAGTTTCTTATTGATTCGTAAATTGGTTTTTATAAACATTTCACAAATGAAATATATTTAAAAGATGAAAGCCGTACTTTAAGCTGAATGGAAGAACCTTCAAGGACTTTCACAATATAATTATATTTAATTGTATATCCATATAATTAAGAAGCGTAGTCAGAGAGAGAGGAGTGAAAGAATGTAAATCTCAATGGCAATGAAGGCTCTCCTAATAAGAAAGTGTTTTTGGAATACTATGTGTCTTTCATTCTCTCTCTCTCTCAAACTCTCCCTCTCTCTCTCTCTGAGTCTTCAATGAATATATCTGAAAGATCAAGAGGATTCTCCATTTCCGTTCACAGAAATAAAAAGCATTGAACAAGGATTAAGTAACATTCAATATAAACATCTTTTTAAAATAGGATGAGAAGGGTAGAGATGGAAGTAGGAGGAGGAGGAGGAGGAGGAAGCAGACGCATACATACTTCCAATGACTTTTTAAATGCGTTTTTCTTTTCAGGCTAAGGAGTTAGCAAGGTGGAATTCTGAAAAGCTGTGAGTGTTTGTCTCAGCAACCTCACCCACAGGTTGTCGCCACTCAATTTGGACGGTAATATCCATTCATATTTACATAGTATCCAATTGTAGCTATAAATGGGATACATTCCTCTTACGTTTTACTATTTATCTCATAAGTCTACCAACATCTCATTCTCTTCGGGGCGATCATCTCTCTCTTTCTCACTCTCTATATCTCTTTCTCTCTCTCTCTCTCTTTATACATATGTATATATATATCTTTCCCTCTATATTCTTTCTCGCAAATTATTTCAGAGCTTATAATAGGCGAATAAGTCAAACTGTTGATAGAATATGTTCTAAACTTATTCAAAACATTATAATAAGGTGAATTTCTGAAGAAAAATATAGAAAACGTCGTCAGTTGAATGAATCTCGTTGAACGTCATCTGGTAAGATAGAGGTCATCGTCAACGAGAATGTCATGCCCAATTGTTTTTGCTCGAAAAACATGGACTTTTTATAAAATGAAGGACCTTGTTGAGTCTTTAATAAACTTAATAACATAACGAAGCAAATCAATGAATACAGAGAGAGAGAGAGAGAGAGAGATGGAATAGAGAGAGGGAGAAGAATCTGTTTCAGTCAGTTAGTTCGTCAGTTAAAGGTGTCCTTGTTAAATCATAAAATAAAATTTGTACGCATCCAAATGAATAGGTTAATTGTCTAAATCTTCATCTTCTACATCAACATCCACATTTCAAAACCATTTCTTAACATTTTTTTTTCAATTTTTTTCGCGCCATAAAAGAAAATATGAAAATTGTTATTTACATTTCAACAATCAATCTTAAAACACGATTTCAGACGAATCAGAAGAGCTGCTCAGAGCCTTGGGGGCACGAAGAAGAGCACTTGATCGATTTCAGAATGTTCAGAAGGTAAACATAAGGAAAAGCATGCGGTTTCACTTAGTTAACATCATCAAACACCAACATATTAATAATTTCTTCATTTTCGTCTCAAAACCATTTTATCGATGAAGACCAAAGAATGTAGTTTATCGAAATGGTTTCTCATGACTTTCTAGAAGAAGGGCTGATCATGATCAGCTGCAAGCTGTATGTCAAAGGAAAACAACTTGTATAACTTGACAATGTTTATATAAGGGTTTTTGAATATGCAAATTAGAAAACTGTAAAAAAGATTTGAATGATGACGTCATTATATGATATCATAATCCATTTCTTTGATTCGTTTAACTGCTAGTCAGAAGTAAGAAAAGGAAATTCAGAGAGAAGTAGAAAGATCTTGAGAGAAACAAAGGCAACTAGAAGAAGGGGAGGGGGAATGGTTGGTTTCTTGTGGAGAAGAGAGGAATGTGAGTGAGAAGAGGTGATTAACAGCTTATCATAACTATATAACAGAAATATTATATTTTATAGAGAAACAAACCGCAAAGCCTCAATGCGGCACTCTTGACTCTCAGCCTTTACGTGGCATCTGAATCATCTTCACTCCTCCTACATTCTGGTTTGGTATGATCTACGGGAAGAAGAAAATGGACGACAGGTGAGGCCCGTCAGGTATAAATATTTCAAAAAACAATCAACGTTCTTTTTTTGCTAACTTGTCCTTTCGCTTGTGCTTCGTCTCTTATCGGAGATGAAACTGACGGAGTCGCAGAAGAGAAAGAAAATATTTCCCATGCTTCCTGCTTGTTCCAACAAAAAGGAATAGGAAGGATTGCATCGATTATAATGCATTTCACTTTTATCAAAGTCAACATATGGTCCATGGGCACAGCACCAGTCAGCTTGTGGATACGAACTAGGCTGAAGATGATTTTAGCAAACAAACCTGGGAAGAAGATCAAAACTGCTTTTATTGCTCCGGTTCAATCAATTTCATAAAAATGGTTAATTATTACAATAACATATAGTAACTATTGACAAACCAGTGCTCTCATGTGTACATATAGAAGCCAACCCTGCCGTTCCACAGGTCTCGAAAGAGCAGACTCGAGCAAGCAATCGCAAACGGACAATAGCTTCAAATTCAGAAAAGTGAAGTGAACCACATCCATTTGTTCCGATTCTTATTATTAAAGCAACGAATTCAAAAAAATATGGAAATGGCTCAAACTATTGTTGAAGTGCTTTTGCCCTAAGACTAATTCTCCAATCCGACGAACAAACAAACATCTGAAATAATCTTTTTGTCTTTCAAAAATCATTTAATCAATCTGCAAACTCAAAACTTCTCCAGTGAATCCTGAGAAGAAAATTAATTGCGTCTTAGCTTCTCCATTCCAATCAAGTCCAGTCCGAAAGGTGATGATAATTCCATCAAAAGCAAGACACTCAGCATTGAGTGTTCTTAACATAATTACAAATGGCCGTTGCTTCAGGTAACTCCTAGATGGAAGCTCCGGTTCGTTCAGTTTTTAACACTTCCCACTTTCGGAATATCATTAATCCCGATAGAGTGAAGTTTGAAACAAGATTCTAGATGAGGACATGCAGACAGAGTGAGACTGAATATTGATTGAACAATAAGTGAGACGTTCTCATGTAGAAGCCTTGATCATCTTCTCATTGTATTCATACGTCACCTTGACTCTCCACTAATGTCTGGCTACTTGTTCTCTATATCAATTAATGAACAACTTGTATATGACTTTCACACAGCGCTAAATGTATGTGTAAACAGTGACACAACATCTGAGATCATGAAGAATCAAAGAGGGATGACTCTCACTACATCTAACATAACCATTGATGAGCTACAAGTTCTATTCTATTCGTATCAAAACCTACTCTCAAACCTTCTTCAAACTTTTTTCTTACAATAAAATATTTGGAACGAACAATCAAAAAAGGCAATGAAAGATTGAATGGAACGAAGTTCTCACAAAACACGTTTGTAAACAACGTACACATGCCACATGAAAAGAGCCGAAAATACGACCGAAAACTCAACATTTTTTGGAGCGGAATGAAAAAGCCACTTCTTGCTTGTATAGCCACTAGTGCCCGGCATCACCCTTATTCGATGTGTGTATGCTTGATGAGAAAGATATGCAAATATGGAGAAAAACAGTTTGAACAGAATTCTTCTTTATTCTTTCACACAGACAGAATTTGAAATTCATGATTACAATAACAGTTTCGTTCAAAGGTAAATCTCAAAGAGTGAACCTATAGTTGGAGAACAGAAGCCGAACATCAATTTACATGATACAGAGATAAAGAGAGATAGAGAGGGATAGAGAGAGAGAGAGAGATAGAGATAGAAAAGCTCATTACATAAGCAAGAGAAGGAATGAAAGGTTAGACAAAGAAATAAATAAGAAAATAACAATATTAACAAAATTATTCTTTTTCATTTGCATCTTTCGTTTCAATTCCAGCCCATAAGGGAGCTGACAAAGCCATGTCAATCCTGTCCGGATTCTGGAAGTTGTAACGCTCTTCTAATGGTCTTTCCACTGTTTCAACGTTGCTGCAAGAACTCATAATCATGTGAATGAACTGGATTAAGCAAAATCTATGTTTTAAGTTTTGTTTCTAGAAGATATGTGCAGACAACACAAAAGGCATGCGAAAGTCAGGAAGTTCAAAGCACAAGAAACTGTTGTATCGAAAGAAGCAACAATCGAAACCAGTCTAAACAGTTTCTTAGAGTAATTGATAGTTTTTTGCAAATGTTTTATATCAACAAAATAAGTACGAAAGCTCACAGTTAATCAGTAGTTGAAGTTCCGACGAACTGTTGTTTCTGTTTTGATTGAAGCTGCTGACACAACACTTTCTCGAGAATCTGTTGATAAAACACTTTCTTGAGAGCCCATCGGATGGACGGGATCTGTTGGATCTTCCTCTGCTATTGGAGCTTTCCTACTTCCGAATTTTGCTAAAAATTGACGTTTCATAGCGTCTTCGTTCTGTTTAGCTTTTTCTGTCTTTTCAACAATCTGTGTACGATTAGTTTTCGTAGATGTCGTTGTTACAGTTGAAGTTAGAAGAAGACGTTGAGGTGGTGGAGCTCCAACCAGCCGAGGTGGTGATGGAGTTGGGGTTTGAAGCAGTTGGGAAGTTTCTGCGGCTTCTCTCGCCGGAGTTGAATCAAAGAATTGCGCTCTATCGATGCTAATGTTCGATCGTTTCTCTATCGCCTGCGACAAAGGATTAGTGTGGATAGTGGTAGTATCGGAGTTCCTTCTATCGGAGAGTACTTCCGATTGTTGGTTTGGCATGAGAAGAGAATTTGTTCGGGAAGGAATGTTATGAACGTTATCATAAAATGATTCTTGTAATCGTCGTTGGCGATCAAACTCTGATGTATCAGGCATGGGTTTCTCCTCTGGAGGCTCAGTTTGAGAATCAGGTGAAGAATGATGAAAAGCAGTTCCATACATAGCATTTTGATATGAACGGCTCATCATTTCTTCATCTTGTTCTAAGTAACCACTAGCTGAACGTGGTAAAGAAGGAGGATAAGATAAGAGAGAAGGAGATGATCCAGGATCGTGCAACCTTGTCATTGAACCCATCGGAGCACAGTCAAATCCACGAAGATCACGTTGTTGCATTTCAGCTACAATAGCTTTCCTTACAGTAGCTGGTAATCGATCGAGGGAAATATAACTCCCTTCTTCATCTTCATGCTCGTCTTCAGTGTAAAATCCATTCTCAGAAACATTGCCAACATTATAAATTGGATATCCTTGAGGAATTTGACCCATTTCAATCATTTGCTCAACTCGTCTTTCCTGCTCTTCGAAATCATCGTCTTCATTGTACATCTGAAGAGATTGTGGTCTGTTAATCTCCTCATTTTGTCGTTTTTGAAGAAGATGACTGAAAGTACGTCGTTTGTTCACATCTGATCTACTCATCTCATCATCACTCATAACAGCAACATCGTCTTCACTCGAGGAAAACTCAAGACGTTCAATTTCATGTGTCTGTATATGATCGCAGAAAGTGACGCTTTTATGAGAAACAGCTGAAATCCGTGAGGATTCACTTACTGAAGAATCTCGACGTTCACCGATCGTTTCTTTTCGTGGTCGTCGATCTCTAGAAACCGTTCGTCCACTAGTAGTTTTCTCATCTTCCGGAGATGAAGTTGAAGTTTGTGGACTGCTGAGCGTGGTACGCCCAGAAGGTGGCTTCCTATGCGTTTTTGGTGAAAGTATAGAAGCAGAAGCTTCGCGAACAGTGATTGTCGATTTCACGCTAGAAGCGACAGAGTCATTCGAATCTTGACGCGTCACGGGAGATTTCATTTTAGAAGACGTAATTTCAGATTTTGATGAGCTCTTACTTTTCCTCTTGTCTTCTACATCTGATGATTTGGTTTTCCTTTCTGTTGGAGGGAGAGTCTTTGTTTCATCCGATTTATGCTTCTCAGGTCTGGCTTCTGATGATTGCTTCTCAGTACTTTCTGATCGCCGACTTCTAGATTTTTTTGGTTCCCGTTCTCCTCTTGGTTTCTCGTCTCTATGTTTCTCGCTGATATCATCTTTCGTAGATGATGAAGAAGGTTTCGACTTCTTTTTTTGGCTTTCCAAGTCATCATCAACCTTGTTAAGAGATGTTTGACTCTTATTTTTCTTTTCTAGTTTCTGGAGCTTCTTCTCTTCCTTTTCTCGTTCCTTCTCCTTCTTCTTCTCTTCTTTGGCTTGACGTTTCACTTCTTTCTCACGTTCATCGCGTTCTTTCTTCTCTTCCTTCTCCTTATCTTTGAGAGCCTTCTTTTCTTCTTTGGTGAGTTTCTTCTTCTCTTCTGAGCTTTCTTGAGGTTCCACGACTTTCTCTAAAGATTCCATGGCTTCCTGTAACTGCTGAGAAGAATCTTTGCTCCGATGTCGTTTCTTTCGGCTCTCCTTTCCTTCATTCGAGGCATCTACCTTGCTTTCTTCTTCTTCGTTATTTTTCCACAAGTCCTGGTCGATGGCTTCCATCGGTTCTGCTGTTGCTGCTGTCTCATCGGATTTATGCTTCCTCCTTGCCTTGACTTGATTTTTCTGTAGATTAGGAACGTCTTCCCATTCTCTAGTTTTGAAGCCGGTACGTCCTTCATCGTCCCGGTACCACGCAGGATTCATAACAATACTTTTGGTCATGCTATCCTCAAGACCTTCGTTTCCTTCGGGTTTTCCACCTGGCCCAGTGAACTCGGAATTAGGCTTCAAACGATTCGCAATAGCTTGTTTTAATAACGAATTAGCGCCTCCTGTCCTTCCGTTGTTCGAACGTCCGCTGTTTCCACCACGTCGAGAGGTGTCGTACAACGATCCTGCAAGCATTTCGTGCAAGCTATGTGTGAAGTTGAATGTGAAAGCGAATTTATAAAAAAAACTGTTTTTTTCATTATTCAAAATGTTCGATAGCGTGGAAGCACAACTCATTTACGTGGTTTCCACGTAAAGTCTACGTGAACCTTCACGTATGACGTCACGTGAAAATAAATATCATTTCTAACGTAATGACACTGTAGTACGGTTGTGTTCCATATTATGTCATAGGTATAGCAGAAGTAAGAGAAAAGTGCTCACCTGGATCCAACTGGCTCGGCATGTTCGAAGTCTGCGGCGGAAGCTGCGAACCCACTCCGGACAGATACTGAGCTTCTCGCATGCTGAAACATGAAAATAAGGTACATAAATATAAAGACGGAAGTAAATATAAATAATTATTTTGGTTGGAAACGTACCAGTCCCTCTCATCCTGACTTAGTGGGACAGTTAGAACAGGATAATGTAAGGAATAATTAGCTAATCGAAAACATTCTTTCATTTGGGTCTTCTTACATTAACATATTTTAGAAATATATATAAAAATATAATATATATATAATTATATAGATAGAAAAATGATGAAAGAACTTTGGAAAGGTAGGTGGGAGTTCTCAAAATGAAAAATTTTCTCTCAAATTCATCTTTTTTCTCTTTATCGATGTATCTCAGCTGATGATGATACGAAAGTAACAGAAAAGCCATTTGAACTGAAAGCCAACTGTTGGAGAAGATTAAATACAATTTCATTTCAAATTTTAATTATTTAAACTATGCCAACTATAATAGAAAGGATGAGAAGGGAATAATTATACTTTAAGTTTTCGACTCTTCTTCCTCTCTCTCTCTCTCTCTTACTCTTTCTCTCTCTATTTCCCTCCTAATGTTTATGCCGAAATGTTTGTGAAAGGGCCTTTTCAGTTTATCTTCATCTTTCACATAATTCTTCTCAAAAAATAAGTTTTTCTCTCAATTTTTGTAAGGAATGAGAGCATTTGAATCAGTTGTTTCAACTCAATGTGACATTCAATTAATCACAAAATGCACCATCGTTATCACGTACATCTTTCAAAATGACACATTTATCATTAATCTTCAATCGTTTTCATAAGAATTAAAATATAAAAAAATGAAAATTATAAAATACATTTGAACCTTGGAAGGAGAATGATTGGATTCAAGCTCACATCAAAGGCCGAATGACAATAGCCAAGAATGGCATAGGAGAATCTGATTTTGACGTTAAAATACTTCCCGAAGGGAATATTTTGATGCAATTTTGATGTATAGCCTCCTGATTTGGGACAATTTCGTAAAGAAGTATGAAGGTGATGTTGAGAGAAGTTAACTTACGAATAGGCTATATGAGTTGTTGGTTGAATAATCATATTCTAAATGCTTTGTAACCATATGATATAGTCAATAGAATAGTTTTTAGAGAACTGCTGTAGTTCTGGTCAACTGATCCGTTAGTTCAGATGACAACTGCCTTCAAGTCTCTGACCATAATGGAGATCAGATTTCGCACAACAACTAGCCTTATAATCAGTATTTGTCGTGTTTTACACGAGTCTTTTTTTGATTTCTATCCTCCCAAGCTATCTTACGACGTCTTAGTTTACCTGTGGGGGAGCGGAGGTCGGCCACTGGTGGTTGTGGTGCTCGGGCCGGAATTTGCTTGATGGTGCGAGGGATAATGTTGATGCTGATGCTGAAATGATTCTCTTTCATATTCATTCCAAACTAACAGCTTTGCATAAGCCGCCAACTCGACATGACCTCAGAACATTGTTTTACATGTTCTTTTTTAGGAATATCATGCGCACCTTTTGGCCTCACCTGTCCCCCAGAGACGGGTGGACGACCCTCGCCGACCATTCCTTGCACCCAATCAGGATATTTATACAAACAGCATGAACGAATTTTTTTCGGCAGTGGAGGAGGTTCTTCACTGTAATCAATTCGTTAAATGATGAATGAAGTCTTGTAAGCAACGAAGCTGATACCAGATACGTGTTGCTGCAAGCGCTTGTGTGTGAGTGTTGTAAGCCAAATAAAGAAGTATGATATGAACATTTTATTTTTCATATAAAACTTTATAAAATAATATCAATATGTATAAGAAGAAGCACAGCCTCTCTTCTAACTGTAAAGATGTGAACGTGCACTTCAATTATGAATAAACTTCTTAACAAAAAATAATAAAAATTCTGTTCTTTGTTAATCAGCTGGGTGATTATGGAATGAAAAATCAACAGATTGGTGATAGCCGTGCGTGATGGTTTGTGTGCTTCATCAGTTCAGCTTGTATGAGCTTTAACTGTAGTGGACGTTGAAGCTGATGTGGAAGGCATAAGCGACATATCGCTAAAGCTAAAAAAACAAATAAAACAATCTGTATGAAGCGGAAAATCGTCTGCCAAGTAATAAGAACAAAAACAATAGAAAAGGAAGGAAGTATTGTGTTTTCTCTATCTGTTCAATCCACTTCACAACTTACATTTTAGGTGCCGGCCGTTGTAAGAAGGCGCTGAGCAAATCAATGGGGAACGGGAAGATAATTGTTGAATTTTTCTCAGCTCTAAACATTTCATTTAAGAAAACAATGAAGAATGAATAGAAAGAGAACTATGAAGTGGAAAATACTTACGATATTGAATTTAATGTTTGTAAATATCGAAGTTGAATAGCGGATGGCGACTGCGCTATTACTTCAGCAGCTTCTTTCAGTGCTCTGGAAGCTTTCTGTTCTCCTTCAGCAACAATTACCTAAGAAATTAATGATTAATTGAACAAAGACTGTGCGAAAAAGGAAAAAGTAAACAAACCTTGGCTCGAGCTTCTCTTGCAGCTTCAGCTTCGGCTGCCATAGCTCTTTGAAGTTGAACGGGAAGTCGAACATCTTTAACTTCAACTCTTTCGACTTTAACTCCCCAAGGCTCTGTGGCTTCATCCAAGGTAGTCTAGAAATATAACAATAACAATCTAATACGTAAAAATTGGAAAGCAACCGTCTCCTCTAAGCTTATAACTCAAAATGAAAGACGACGTAACGTGAGTGCGAGCTCATTAGCATAATTAAGAGAAAATTAGCATACCTGCATTTGATGAGAGATAGCTTCTCTGTCTGATAACATTTCAGCTAAAGTTTTTGTTCCCAAAATATTTCGGAGAGTTGTTTGTGCTAAGAGTTTAGTTGATCTAGCAGCATCTTCCACATTGGTAACCTTCAAGGGTTCATAATGAGATTGATGATGAGGAAAGGAGGATAACGAACCGAAATCGTGGCATTTGATATTCGGAAATAAACAACAGCATCTACAGCAACTGTCACAGAATCTTTTGAAAGAATCTTAATTATCATTATATTCATTGATTTTGGTCTTCATTTGCATACTTCTTGTGGCGGCACTTCAAAGGAAAGAACTCGTAAATCCACTTTGCGATACGTGTCGATACATGGAACAATCAGAAAGATTCCTTCAAGAAAGTATATTTTCAAATTGTATGTTCGTATCAAATAGCTGCAAGTGGAAGTGAATGACTAACCTGGTCCCTTTGCACCTCCAGGCATCAATCGACCAAGTCGAAATATGACTGCTCTTTCATATTCTTGAACTACCTTAAGTAAGTGGCATTGACGGCTTGTGTTAAGCTTACTAACTCACCTTAATACACATACAAGCCGATATGGGAAGAGTAACAAAGATAAGTAAATAAGAGAGAATTGTAAGAATCCACCCGCATACACCAAACTCATTTTGAATATTTGCTGAAATTCAAAATTATAATTTTGTATCCGAAGAGAAGGATTCTAATGAAAAACGCTTTGAATAAGCTTTCTTCGAGAAATTTTTCTTTTTGTTTTCGTCTTTGTCAAATTGAAATTAATTGAGATCATTTGTCTCAAGATGGACTTGAATGCAAGTCTCACAAAGGTGTTTCTACTATGAGTCCTCTCTTAAAATATTAATGTTGTTGCCCAAGCTTCTGAACTTTCTTTCGTCAGTTTAGCTTCTCCTTTTTTTTCTCTCTCTATTTATATCTCACTCTCTCTGTTTCTCTCTCTTTCTTTGAACACATTTCTCTCTGAACATATTTCATGTGAGCAGAGGAAAGTTGCAATGAAGCTGTCAGAAGTTGAATGAAATGATATACAAACACACATATTTTAATATTTGAAACATGAAATGCAATAAAAGCATTCAAGAAATAGAGAGAGAGAGAGGGAGAGAGTAAGAAAGAAAGAGAGAGAGAGATCTCCTTTCCATTTATGTACTTCGAACTAGATATACACACGTACATACATGTATATGTTATTAATACAAGAATACGTTCTCTCTTACAAGTCCATTCATAGAGCTTACCTGGCACAAGATTAAACTTTCTGGGATCCTTTTTGGCGCTTAACCGTGTAGATTCTCGAGCTTTCATCAAAGCTTATTCTATTTGATTGCAAAGAGATTTCCTTTATAACAATCAATTAAATATCTCAAAATGTAATGAAAAAAGGATTTTTTAGAAGCAAAAACGGCTGTCAATAGGACCAAAGTTCATAAGAAAAGGAAAAGAAGATAATGGAGGGCAGAAGAGCCAACAGCACGCACGAAATATTAAAAAAAACAAAACAAAAAGAGGAGGCTTTTCAGTCAGTTTGTGTGTTGGTTACTTTTCTATCTTTAATGGGGGAATGACATCCAAGAGATTTTCATAGATTCTTCTTATTCTCTATCTTAAGAGAGAGGAAGAGAGAGAGAGAGGGAGTGAGAGAAGGAGAGAATAAGATAGAGAGAGAGAGGGTATATATAGAGTGAAGAAAGACTAAAAGAACGAAATGGATGTAGGAGGATATCAAATATCGTCGTCCGACTAAGAGGGTAAATTAGAGTTAAAGAGCAGAAGTCGCTGAAGAACGAGGGAAATGCATAGAGAGAGATAGAGGGAGTAGGGTATAGAGAGAAAACGATTGAGAGAGAGATAAGATATGAGATTCTTTAAAGGGGAGAGAAATGCAATATTATTTTATAAAAAGTGTTTTTAGAAATCAGAAACAATTGATTAAAAAACCATTCGCGCCGCTTGTCAACTTCCGACTGCCAAAAGCTGAGTGTCGAAGAGTTTGTTAATGGAAAGGAATAAACGGCTGTCAACGAATTTGAATTGAATGAAATGTTTGAAAGAAGACCAATTAGAAATTATAAAAATGAATAAAAAAAATAATAAGTGGAAGAGGAGTTTGAAAAAGAAAAATGAAAATGAAGGTTTCAGATGGGGGGAGAAGGATAGGGGGGGGGAGAGCTAAGAGGATATTGCGAACGACTAAAAGTAAGTAAAAGTATGAAGGAAAAGAGATGTAGAAAGAGAGAGAGAGAGAGAGAGAGAGAGAGAGAGAGGGAGAAAGAGGTATGTATTCGAATGTGAATTTACAATTCTATATGTCTTTTACTCAATGCCATTGAACTGTTCCAATCGGTTAAGCTTCCTATTACTATGAAAGCCAAAAAAGGAATTCACCGACTGCGCTTCAAACTTCCCGCATACTCTTCCATAAACAAAAGTATTTTTTTTTATTCAAAAATAGTAAAGAGAAGATAATTTTGTTTTTATGCAAATTATCTGTTCACGTCGTACACATCGTGCGTCGTCGTTTATGCAAATTATGTGTTTCACGTAAAGTTGAGACCGTGAATGTTCATTTGACTCTATGGGACGCTACATGAACGGTTGTGCTTGCCAGACGAAAACACCAAAATGTATGTGAGCGAAGAAAGATTTTACGTTTTCTTTTTCTTCTTTTGCATTTAAATATAAATAAATGGAAAAAAAGGTCTTACCATCAGCAGAGATATAAGCTGGGAGAGGACTAAACTTGTATTGAGACGGTGGCTGATTGGAGAACTTTCGTGTTTCAATCATTACTCTCTACTTAGGTATAGAAGATGTGTAATGATGAATAGATGGAAAGCAAAGAAGATTGTGACTGTTTTGACGATTCGATTGGGAAGAAGAAGAAGAAGAAGATTTTCAAATTTATATAAACGAATTGAAGATCAAAGTCGAATGAATACCAGATGTTAAGAAGAGCTTTTGCCTATTTAATTGTCGTTTTGTTTGAAAAAATTTTAATAAACGTCTTTGAGGGAGGAAGGCTGAATGTTTGTCTGTAAAGAGTCTATTGACTTCATGCAAGTTATAAATACTTAAAATTGTAAAAAAACCAAATCGGTTTTGTTGTTTCTTTAGTAAATTGAGGTGAAGCTATGTAATAAGAGTATAGGAGGGAAAGGAATACGAGAGAAAAGGTTTTTTTTTTCTTTTTCTTCAACTTCTTCTAAGGACCATGGAGGTCGTAGGGGGAAAGAGTATATAATCAGCTTTTTTTGTCTCTTTTTTTACTTTTAAAACTAGAGGGGCTTAGAGAAAGATGAATTACTTGGACGACTTGTTGCTGACGAACAAATCTCTTTGAAAGTCGTCTCAAAGACCTTCGTCCTTTATGGAATTCTTCGTTCTGATGATGAAGCTTATACGGGAAGCTTTTTTTTTCAGTTCAAATGACATTCGTAATTGACAACAAATAATTTCAAAAAGAATAAGAAAAACAAATATTGAAAGATTAGGCGATGGCTTAAGCAATGGTCTTGTGGATGAAGAGGAGTCGTTTCGGTGGCAACGCCAAATTTGATTATGGGATTGAGTGAGACAGAGGAGTAAGATGGAACGAAAAATCTCTTAGTTTTCTTCCTTCTGAGGGATGTGTTGAGCCGTTACATTGGAAAAAAATGGATAAAAAAATGGAAAAGCGAATTGTGCTTAAACAGCATGTAGAAGGGGGGAAAGTTGGCGAATAGACTAGGATGACGGGGAAAGGACTCGGTGAGTAGAGGGAGAGGAATAGGGAATTGACGAAAGAATCCAAATTTTTCTTGTTAAAGAAGATTCCGACAGAATTTGTTGAGGTCCAGAAGAATAAAAAAAATTGGAGAGAAGAAAAGAGATAGAGAGAGGAAACGAGAGCATACGAGGGAAAAGCTTCCTGACTCTCTTCAATTTGGGAAGAAAAAAATGTTTTCCATCTCTTTCAAATCTAAGTTCTTCGAAGTTTTTTGATAATTCTGATTGCACGCAATTTGATTAAAACAGCTTTTACAATTGGGTTTTCTCCCAATCGAATCTTCAATCATTCGGAACTTTATGAATCTGCGGGCTTTGAAGAAAAGAGATTCACATGGGAATGTTCACTATAGTGATGTCGATAATTCATTTGCTTGAACTAAGCTTCATACATACTCATCCTTCACTCATTTGATTCAAATTACCTTGAGTCTCTTGGGCTTCAGCATCTTTATCTTCCGGCTCTTTCTCACCACTTTTTTTCTTAAACTGCTCATCATCAGTATCATCTGACTTTCCGGATATGATGGACTTGTTCTAGATGAAGACACATATGACATCTTCTAATTAGTTCTTGCAGAGTGAGCTGTGTGAACTTGTTTGGTTCGAAGCGAAGATAGGTGAATGTGAATGAACTCCCGTTTGCATCGATTGAAGAACTCATGATTGTGAGAAGCTAAGTGTGAGCAAGCTATGAAAGTTTTTTATGTGATGCTCAGTTTGAGCAAAAAGGTAATGCAGCTGAAGCTTGTACAAACCTCCTCGTATTGACTCAACGTTTGCATTGCCATAGTTTCCACTTCATCACTACTAGTAGATAACAGATCATCATCGTCTTTGCTTGATGATGATGGCAACATTGCTCCTTCTTGTCCTCCAGAAGTACGAGATGTTACACTCAAACGATGAGAATCGACAAGACGAGTTTCAACACGACTTCCACTCCCATTTGAGGACAATGATACCACCGAATTACGAGCTGACATGGCTCCCTCTTAGAAAGGCCAAGCCAAGATTTACTCTGATCTGATTGAGTAGATAATCAGAAGCAAGTCTTCAAATCCTCAGAGAATATATTTTTTATAGAAAATAGGAAAGAGTAGGAAAGAGTAAACTAGAACCGTAGGAGAACTTTCTGATGATTCTGGGAGGAGAGAGGAGACAGAATCGAAGAAGGATGATGAGATCAGAGTGAACTAGATGGACGAAACGATATTTAAGTAATTCTGCACATCTTTTGACTCCTTTTCGAAACAGATGTCTGATTTCAAATGTATGAAAATGGTTGTCGAGAATGTTCGTTCGGACTAAATTAAGAAGCATATCATGCATTGAGCTTCTTCTTCAGCTCCCCCCACCCTTTCCCTTATTCATACATTTCCCAACAAAATACTCAAATAACTTTTTTCTTCTCTACTAAATTAAAAAAATTCATTTTTCTTTTATTTCGAAAATAAAATGAAAGATTGCCTTGACTGTTTCATATACAGCTCAAGAGATGTTCCCATCAGAAGATGATTTTTTTAATTTCTGAAGTGGTCCCTCTAACCCTTCTAATGGGATTGAATTCACATTTCATTGGAGATTTTACGGTTCTCATCTACATTCTCCAATTTGTCATAAAGAAAAATCATAAAGAGGGAAGAAAGATTGAAAAAACGATGAAGAAAAGCAAAATAACCAGATGGCTCAGTAGTGAATGGCTTTCTCTGAAGGATAGCCATTCAATCATTTTCCAAAAACAAAGGTGATCAGTATTTCATCTCAAAAGGTAATTCTTCATTAAGTTTTCATGAAAAAGCTTCTTTCAAATGTATGAAAAACAATTAAAGAAAGATGTCTTAAGAGAGAGAGAAAGCTGGATAGAGAGAGGATGAGAGAGATAGAGATGTAGAGATAGGAAGAGTGACGAAGACATGCCAATGTCCACATAAGACTTTATCAGTCCTTCCTTTTCATGGAACAAGGGATCAGAACTTATAATTCTGCTTAATGAAAGCTTCCAAGACTTTTCTGGCAGGTTAGCAGCTTCAGTTGATATACAAAGAAGGTCCCTATCTTCATCCAATCAAGTGATCAAGTGATCAAATGAAATTTCAATTTGTTTTTCCCCATTTGGAGGTTTCATGTTGAAGTTCAGAAGTTCACCGACACCTTTAGTGAAGATGAAAGCAGATTCTTCTTGGAAAAAGGTAAACGCGATACTCCTGAGGAAGAAGTGCTTCTATGAATTATTCATTCAAACACCAGTTGTCATAGTAGTCTAGTGTCTGCGGTCAAATTCTAATTTTCATCCCAAAAAAGGAGTTTGAAACCCTTTTCTGGTTGTAAGAAATCTGCAGGAATTCATTGAAAATGTTTAAGAAGTCTCATAAACATTAATGTTTTCAAATAAAAAACTGCACTTGAAGCAATAATTTCCAACAAAAATCTGAGGACATTGGCTCGTTTCTTCGTTCTGACGACGACGAGTAGCTGGCTGACTAGCCGTCTCTCTCTCTCTCGCCTTCCCTCGTCTCCCTGCGAAGTTGACAACGTTTTTCCCTTTGAAAATGAAGAGAAAAGGAATTTTTAATTTAAAACAAACAAGAAAACGAAATGTTTTTTAAATTTTGTTGATTGACATCGAAGATGTCTTTTTGAATTAAATGAACGCTGGCAACAATCAATAACCTTTTCATAAGAGGTGACTTCCCTCTATCTTCTTACAAGGGGAAGGGAGAGGAAGGGAAGGGCTGGAAGAAAACTATCTGATATGTGTTGATTGAACCAATTTACTAGAACAATCTGTCTGTTTTTGAGACTCTATCAAGTTCGAGCCGTTGAAAGCAGAAGAGGAGACAGCCGAATGTCCAGAATATGAATTTTCTCGCTTTTCCAATTTCCAAAGTTGATGACGACAAATGAAAATGAAAGACAAAGGTTTGTCATATTAAAAGGGAAAATCGGAAACAACCTTTTCTCTCTTTATTTCTTAAAAGGGAGAGACGATGAATTTGTGTTGGAATGGTCTATTGAAATGAATAAGAAGTCAAGTTCCTTTATGAGAGAGTTATATAGAGAGAGAGAGAGAGGGAGCAGCTTAAACTACTTGAATTACGAGACATGACCACTCATAATAGATCTTATGAGGAAGAAAAGAGAGAGAATGCAATGAATTTACTAAAATTCTATCAAATATAAATAAATAAAATTAATTTTCACTCAGTAGTATGTGTGTATGCAAACAGGAAAAGCGCTGTGAGAAGGATAGAAATGCTTCTTACCTGATAACAAATCAATTCGCTGTCCCGAGAACTTGCCAATCATGGCTGCAGCTTCGAATATACTTGGAGGTGTGGGTTTTTTGGGAACAGATCTTAATTTGGCTTCAACTTCTTTCATCCTCTCGCTGATGCTCCGTTTACGGCTCATAGCTCCACCAGTGCTACTAGCAACTGATAAGCTGCTCATTTTACGTGGAGCCAACGGAGATGTTGACGACGTCTGTTCATCAGAAGATGGTAATAGACATGACGTCACTTCCAATTGGCTATCCATTTGTAGATAATATATGAATATATATATTTTGGGAAGAAAGTTGTAATATAATCGAATAGAAAAATAAAAATGCAATCACCAAGTTTACCAACTTAAACAGCTGGCAAGGAGAAGCTTCAACGACTGTTTAGGCCAATAAGCTGAATATACCAACTGAGCTTCTTCTCTATGTTGAAAACTTGGATGACACAGAATTCGATCTCCGTTTTTTTCGTGAACAGGATCTGCCAAATGAAAGCAGAATGTATCAGCCCCTCCGGAATCCGGAGAGCATCAACGACATCCCACAGCAACACCGGCTTGATGTCCAGGCTTTAAGCGTTTTGCCTCCTTTCGTTAGAATGGGCGTGGCTAAGCCTGAGCTTTTCCATTACTATTCGTTTGTTACAAATTTTCTATTTTCCTAGTTAAACATAAAAAACATGTTCTGATATTTAAGCTCAAATTAACTTAATTAGCAAGTTTTTAAAAGTATAAAAAGAAATCTGCGAAACAAGCTCTTCACACCCATCTCCTCCTCCTGTTGCTTGCGATCGTCGTCGCCGCATCTCCATTTCCCTCCCTCTTTCCCTCGAACATTATTATTCATTTTCGATAAAAAAATAAATTATTGTGAAGGAATTTGGAGCAAATAAGGCATTTTTAATAAATAATTGCCTTTTTACAGGAAAATTCAGTTGAAAAAGGAATGTTTTCTTCAATGTTCAAAGTGTTCACATGAATGTTTCATTAAGAAATCCATTAAAGGATTTACATAGATGAAGCTTAATTACATGAACAATTCCATAGGAAATTAACAATTATTTCCTAATATTTTACTTTTAATCTATTCTACTACAAACCATTTTCAATAATATTTTCATTAAAAACCCTCATTGGTAGCACTCAAACAGCTGCAGACGGGGATTTTTTAAATTCAATCGATTGCTTTTCATTAAGCTATCCTAATTGATGCCAAATGTTTGTGATGAAGTACATATGCACATATAGACAGTATGATAATGATGATGATGATGATGATGATGAGAGAATGAAAAGGAATGCAACTGTCCACTACGTGTCATATCATCGAAATAAACATTTCACGCGCCATCGTCACCCACGCTGTACACGTGGGAATTGGAAATTAGCATATTATGCGCTCAAGATGCATGAATTATAAATACATTGAATGAAATGATTAAACAGTCCATGTAATGGTTAAGTTGGCAAAACTTACGCTTTTTAGGTTCTTTTCCTTTAGCCGGAAAAAACCGGAAATTTTCCGTCCTTATATTCGGAAGTTCGACGACCATTGAGCCCGATCGAGCATTGATCTGGATACTATTCAATCAAATTTACATAATAATAAGAAATATGAAAAAGATAAAAATGGGAGGATGAAGCTATTGCGATGGGTTATTTGATAACATTTTTGTGTTTTTTTTCATGCAAAACGAAATTCAAGAAGTTCACAATGGGTAGGGTTAGGGAGATAGAGAGAGAGAGAGGAATGGAAGAGGTAAAACGAGTTGATAGGAGAAGCTGGGATTTAAGGAATAACCTTAAGAGGATGTGTTGATAGATTTAAGAAAATGTTTTTTGTCAGCCGACTACGTTTGAAAGATGAGAAAATTTAATAAATTTTTAATTAAGTCTAATGAAATATTTTAGTAAAGTTCACAAGCGTACAAGGGGGGTAAGGAAGGAGCCGGCCGTTCAATCCTTCTGGTGGATGCCTTCTTTGCGTTTTTTTTTCATAAAAGAATGAGAAATGAAAGGAAAAGCTGATGGTCTCATGAAGAGTGTGATTGCTTTTTGTTTTTTGTTTGAAAAAGAAGAGAAATACTTACCGATCTCGTCGTGCTCATGATGTTTAAAGTTATGTTTAATTCAGAACAATTGAAATTGTTGGAGAAAAGAAGAGGACGACGTCACTCTGACAGCATTTTGAGTATCTCTTTTTTCGTTCTGCTTTTCTCTTTTCACCAAAAGTGTCTCCAAGGGATTTAGACGTCGTGGTTCAGAAGTGGACAAAACTGACAACTTGGCCAGTCATGCTCTTAGAGAACATAAGGAGAACTTTGAGAAATCTTTCTTATAATATTTTTCTTTTTTTTTCTTTCCTTTAAAAATAGTATTGTGAGTTAAGAGGTGTCTATTAGCTACAAATGGAGTTGGAAGTTTGTAAAGCAAAAACATCATCACTTTCTAATTTTGTTTGTCTTTCGGCTCGTCTTCTTCTCGCTCTCGCTTTTTTCGGATTTTCCATAAAGGACCCTTACTCTCGTTTTGCCAACTGATTTCCTCATAACAAATGAAACTCCTAGGTTACTTAACATAGCTTGTTTCTCTCTCTCTCTCTCTCTCTCTGTCATGAGATGCTTAGATTCTCTGAGAAACTCTTTGAGCATCTCATCTCAACCATACAATTGTGTTACTCTGCCATTCATGGGAATGGTTCAATCAGAGAATTAACACCCTCTCTCACTCAACTATCTCAACCCGTCAATGAACGTTTTCTTCATAGCTTATGACTGAAAACGACTGCAACAAGGGGAACACCTAGTATTCCAATGAGCAAAGACGATGCAGTAGCAGACTAACTAATGATGATAAGGAAACCGACAGGAGAAGAGCATTTGTGAGAATGAGAGATTGAAGTTAATACATAAGAAAAGGAAGAGAGTCAAGAGTATCTCTATCTCACAAGAGACTCATTGCCACATCATAATTAATCAAATTATCAAAAAACATTATTTTGCTGTTCCATATAAATAATCGTTTGATGGATGACTTTCCTCATCTTTCACAACTTTCGTTTCAAACGTTTGGCCAGACACACAAAAAATTTCTTAAAAAAATGTGAGAAGAGAGTAGCAAAGAAACAAAAAAATGTTTGAAGGAGATAAAAAGGACGTTTAGTAGAAGATCAAACGATATGCTCTAAGATTTTGAGTTTGAAGATAAAAGGAAAAAGAGATGAGAGAGAAAGTTGAGAGAGAAAGTTAAGGAGAGACATACTACATGGAGAAAGAGGCCAAAAGCTCACAAGAAGGGAGAGAAAGAGAGAAAATCATTTTCTTTCCGTAACAATGAAAAGGAATGTGCGAGTTAATCTCATTTTTGGAGCAAAAGCATCCGAAGAAGCGAAAGGACATTTGATGGAAACTAAAATATTTTCTTTTTTACTCTAAATAACTGAATTAAAATATTAATTGACGAAGAGATTCACAGAGAGGTACAGAGATGTAGAGAGAAAGGTGGAGAGGTAGAGAAAGAGAGAGAGAGAGAAAAGGAGGGAAAGTTGTTGTTTTCCGGGTCTGTTCGCTCTTGTTCTCAGTTTCTGTGTTGCTTGAAACAAGAAAAAACAAAAAAAGAAGTAAAAGAAAAGAATTTATAGAAAGAATTGTCAGAATTTGTCAACAACATCTTGTTCGGATTTCGTCGCCAATCACTAAAGAGAATGGCAGATGGAGAGGGTGACAGAGAAAAAGCTTTCCGATACAGATGGTTTAACTGGATGGACTTCTATTGGAACGTTTTGAGAGAAATGAACAAAAGAATGAAAGAGGGTGAGAGAGAAGAAGAGATACCTTCACAGAGAGGAAGAAGACTGAGAGAGAGAGAGAAAGCGGAAAGAGGATCTTGTGTGGAAAACTTCAAAGAACTTTACAGGATATGGAGATGTAAGAAAATATATTAAGATGTAATAGCTCTTTCCTTAACATGTGCAACTCTCTTTTCCTCTCAGTCTGGCTTCCCTCCTTCCACACGTTACAGGATTGAATTGGAAAAAAAAAGGTTGTCGGTCGAAAACCCAAGTTAAAGCTCAACCAGTTTCAAGTGGCAGGAGAGATGGATGAAAGGTAGGAGGAAGGTGTCAAAATTACAAAAAGTAATAGAAGCCAAAGGCTTTCATATGAATTTTAAAGATAAAATATGAAGATTTTGAGAAAGATTGGAAAGATTGTGGGAGATGAGAAGTGTGAAGAGAACAACCGTGTCCCAACTGCCAGAAATTAAAAATGAAAAAACGCGAAAAGCAAATGGAATAATCAGTGAGTGCTGGAAGCAGAGATGAAGCAAGAAGTCGAAGATGAAAAGTTTTTTTAAAAAAAAGAAGGAAAAATGCTAAGTAGTGTGTCTGATAGAATCACCTAGTCTGAATGCTTCAGAAACTTAGTTAACGGCACTGCTGAACGTTTCTTTCATCAAACTTGACATGGAAAATGTCCTTCTTCCGGAGACGTTTTATGTATTGTCGGTGTAATTAATAAGTTATATAGTTAACTACGAGCAGACACATACATATAGTAACTAACTCTTTGTCCTTTTATAGAAATGAAATAAGAAAACAGTTGTAACTCACCATTCGCTAGATCGACACGGACCTTCTTTGGCATTTCGCCAGTCATTCGGATCATTGTTGAAGTTATAATATAGTTTTGAAAGAATTAATAGATAGTATAGAAGATATGGAAGAAATAGGGTAATAAGAAAGGAGAGGCTAGGAATGCATTCAGAAACGTTCGTAACCTAGGTAAAGCTTCCTTTCGACGGATGGACCCTTACTTCGTTTCGATTTTTCTCTTTCTATCCACCTTTTTTTGTAAGGGTTTTGCCGTTCAGATGAATCTGAATGACAAAAAGGCCACTATATGGTGGCGAATGGCAGACTGATGACTGAATAACGCTCAATCCAGAAGAGATAAATGTCGGATGAAAAAACGAGAGGGAAATGAGAAAACGAAGAATCTTCGTTCAACAAAAAACCGTTTGGTCAAGAAATGAAAAATGGTCGCTGGGAGAATCTGCACAATGAAGAATGGAATGCGCTTAGGACCGGCAAAACAAGTAGGTACGAAGGGCACTGTTTACGTAATTAGTCAACTATATTCGAAAATCTTACGAAAGTAAAGGTCTCAACCGGAAACTCGTTAATGAGTTGAACGAACGATAACTTCTATTTTGGGTAATATCGTTCAAGTTTATGGAATGAGTAGGAAGAACCGAACTGCTTGGCTATCTTCCAAAAAAGGAAGTGTAGAGATGAAAAATAGACGATGAATGAATCTGGCCTTCTGGGTAACGGAGCAGATTTTATGATTCGTTTTGAGCCTTCTCATCTTCAGCTCCTGCTGTTGCTTTTCGCCTTTTTATCTTTAGTTCCTCTTTGTTTCAAACATATAAGAGGGTGTTGTTCCACTCTTAGTGCTATTAGACGACAATCAGTTGACGACGTCTATCCCCCAGATAGATGGACGAGCATTCGGAATCCACAGCTTCTGAACCGGTTAAAGACACACTTTTTCTCATTCTCTGACCACACATTCATATTAAGTCAGTAAAAGGAGGAAGCTTATGGAAGGAGAAGCTTCAGACTGTGTGTCAAGGGAATCAAAAGCCAATAGAATCGGTATATCTTTTTCTCTAAACCTCTCCATATTCAACATTGTCTCAGTTCATATGTCTTCTTTTCCCCATGGGTTGGAACCTTGTTCTTCCATAAGCACTTCGGCCAATTCTCCCAATATTTTTGTTTTTTTAAAAGAGATTCGAAATGATAATTGATGAGCGAATGGTTTACCATTTCCTATACGTCTCTCCAATGATTCTTAATAGAAGCTTCAAACGGAAACATGTCTGCCACAAAGTAAAGACATGGGATGATTTCAAATTTTCCATGCTGACTAGTTGATTGACACTAATAGAAAGACACCCCAAAACTGTTAAGCAACAAGTCCAACGACAAGAACGAAAAGAAAAAACTCTCGAGTGCGTAAAGTGTGTGAGAAAGAGAATACTAAACGTACCTCCAAAGACTTCATTTCCATTCTGGATTGCATAGGTTTTGGCCGTGTACTTGTTCAAATCGCCTCCCTTGAATTCGCTCATCACCGATTTATTGTCACGAGTTCGTTTTTTGGTCATGAAAACCTAAATTCCCATACGGAACTTCAACCGCTCCCTACTTGTCTTTCTGTTTTTTTGTCAAACAAAAGAACATGAAAAAAAAAACTTTTTTTCATGCTTTTCATAATGGATGTTCAGAACGGCGTTAAGTTATTGGGCGGCTGCGGTCTGTACGGGTCCCACTATCATCCTCTCTCATTCTCTCCCTCCTAAGTCTCCCTTGTTTACACCTACTATCTTTCATTCACAATCCCTGTCTCTCTATCCTCTCATGCCTCATGAATTATAATCTCCCCATAATTTGAAAAAAATAAAAATAGTTATTACAACGGGCTCCAATCCATGCTGCTCTTGGAACATCCTCAGTCTGAACGATTCATGGGCACTTTTGAACTGTCGAACAGCCCTGAGAGCTGTTCCTCCAGAGCTGCCAGCATCCTCTATGATATCACCGGAAGCGGATCGTTTCTTTTCCACAGACATCGTGCTGAAAACAAAGAGCAATGAGGAAACATTGTAAATAAACCAATTACTGTGAAAGTTTCTTTTTGAACGAATCTCTTTCGACCGAAAATTTGCTGGTAGGTGTGCCAGGTGGTGTTGTACTATGGGAATAAAGCATTTGTTGTCGTTTTTTTCTGCAAAATTTTTGTCAAAGTTGCTGGTTGAATTGAAAAGAAGAGGTTTTGAGGAACACGAAAAGCTCACCCTGCACTAGAATCCGCAGACGCTAGAGGATCAAGGCGCGATCCGCTGGCAGGTGATGTAGGCACTGAAGCTGGCTTAAACTTATGCCTTTCAGCCTAAATATGTTTCTTATAATTCAAAAATATCAACAAGTTAAGAACTATAAGTTTGAGCAAAAATGAAAGACTGCTCTTGAAGAGATAGAGAGAGAGGAAGAGAGGGAGAGAGATTTTAGAAGAAGGGGGGGGGAGTTAATTTAAGAATTCTCAAGAACGATAGGGATAGGAGTTCTGGGTTGTATCTATCTCCCCCTAATTTCTAAAATGGAGTGTATCGAGTAGATAAGAATTGGTAGGTTACTAGGCTTTTCAAGCAGAAGCTCTAGAATCGGATTGGTTCGAGAACAATGAGAGGATTTAAAGAGCTTTAAAAGCAAAATCAGGCTTCATCATCCCTAGTAATTACTTTATTCTCCTGTATTTCATGCTAATCTTGTTGGTTGTGGTCAGAGAACAGAAAAGGTTTCATGAATTAGACAAAATATTATTGAATTTTCAATAAAACAAAAAATAACTGTTTATCAATGACTTTAATTAATGAAGGGAAAGGGAAGGACATGAGCAAAGGTGCTGATTAGCATAAGCGAGAGACGTGAGTCTCACGTGAGCTCCCATCAATACGTCAGCCTGGATTTATATTCTCTAAGCAGACATGCTAAACGGTTGTTTTTGTCAACTCTCTCTCTCTATCTCATATATAAAATGAAATATAGTAATAGTAGAGTAACGAACCTTCTCTTTCATTTTTGATGAAATCCACGATGAATCATCAGCTGAAGAAGTCCATGACATAGTTTTTGAATGTAAAATATCTTTCTTCTATACAATAACTAACTATATAGATAATCTTCTAGCATATAAATACAAAATAAGAATAAATAAATAATATATATATGTAAAAGATAAATTTAAAAATAAGAAAAGAGGAAGAGATGAGAGAACGGCACAAATACGAATCTTGCTCGTTTTACCAGATAATGTAAAACGACGACGACTCTTGCCTGTTAGCTCATCTCTTCCCGCGCATTTTCGTTATCGTTGTAGTCTTATTATGGGAACCATTTGAAAAGTCTGTTCAGCAGCATGATGATGCTGCTGCCAGAAAAGATTATATGATGGCTTTTTCATCAATTTATTTACCTTTGACAGATGCAAATTCTTTTCTTAAAGCACGATAGAAAGCTTCTTAGCTATCAGGATTTCCATCTCTCTTTCCTTCTCTCAACTCTCTCACACTAACACTCATCACTTTCACTCTCTTTCCTCACCCTTAATATGGAAATGTTCACCTTTCATTTCCGTCCCCTCCCTTTCCCCTCGTTCAATTCTAATTTCTTCTCTTCTAAGCTGAGAAAGACTTTAATGAACACAGTGAAGCTCATTCAATTTATCTACAACAATGGAATGTATCAATGAAACTTTGATTTCTTTCAATTTCTCTTCGTTGATGAGCCTTTTATCATAACAGTTATGAGAACAGAAGCTTTCACAAATAGAATATTATAGTTTTGAAAGCTTTTGCTTTCTGTCTTTCAACCGTTCTGAACATCCTTTCTTTTGAACAAATTTTTGGAAAAATAAAGATCTTCGAATAACTGACCGGCTCGAATCCAGTGCCATGTTGCTCTTGCAGCATCCGCAAGCGGAATGAAGCATGTCCATTCCTGAATTTACAAGAGTAAGGTTAGTTGATTATAGTTCGAACAGTTGAAAATACCTGAAACGGCTCTTAGGAGTAGGCATGACTGACGGAGAAGAAGTCATATCTTCTTCGCCCGACAAGGCAACAATCTGAAAATGAGAACTCAGAAGGTTGATATATGAATGCAGGTCTAATGAACTGAAAGGTCTTTTGAGCGTTTCCCACGTAAGATTTTATAGAAAGAAGGAAAATATTGCTCTTAATCCGAAAGAAGACAGAATGTTGAGATGGATAGGAAAAGGAACAGATATGGAAATATCAAAATGAATAGAAATGATATTATCATTCATTTCCAAGTAAATAACCTTTTTAATTTTTCTTCCCGCTGGTGGTTGGGATAAAATCAAATTTCCTCCTGAAACACTCTCGTTTGTATTGCATAATCGGATATTAGAACCTTCTTCGGCAGTTACAGACAGTTGTCGACCCTGGGTTGGAGGATGATTCGTTTGTGATGGTGCATGAGATACTGTAGGCGAACAAGGTGTTGACGTCATTCTATCTCGAAATAAATTTTAATATTAATGTTATTATTGTAACGATGGAACACAAATAGAGAGAGTAGAGAGAAGATAAGCAGAAGGGAGGAAAAGCTCTCTGAATTCAAGATGTAAAGTGAAAGCAAGAAAATTATGTTCATTTATGGGAAAAGAAGGAAAGCTGAAGTGAAATGTAATGTTCATCTAAATCTTTATTGATTTGTCTCTGCAGACGAATCCTATCATATGCTAGTTGTAGTACTAATTCGGATATCCTCATAAACCTCTGCTTCCTGCTTAGATTTGTTATCTCAAGGAAAGCCACACTAGAAACATCCATGTGTTTCGTTGACCAGGGAAGAATTAGACACACTATCACAGATGGATACAGTACAGTAAGATGAGAGAGTACAAAGATAGGTACAAGGTAACGTGAACTGAGACTGAAACCATTGTAGCTTATGGATGCGCGCCAAAAAATGTTTTGGAAAAAGAAAAGAAATTATATAAATATTGATTAGTTCTCTCTCTCTCTCTCTCTATTCCCGAATATTTTTATGAAATGCTTCTTCTTGCCAAAGCTTTTTAATCCCTTTGTTTTCTTGTATTTTAATTTCTTAAATTCAACCATTTTTTGTGTGACAATTTCATCTTATAGAAATGATTTTGACGTTCTCCTAATCCCCTCTTCTCACTCTCTTCTAATCGTTCTGATTGGTATCTTACTCTTCTTCAACAATCAGAGACTTTGCTTTCCATCCTTTCATACCTATACTCGTCACAACTTCCAGCCATCACGGCTTATACATTCAGCTATTACGAAGCTATACTATCATCGACAACCGCTCCTCAAAGATGGAAGTAGAAAATGAAAATGATAATAATCGCTAAGCCAATAATTTTTTTAACATCAAAACATTTCGTTTTCATTTTCAGGTTCTACCCATTTAGAGCGGTCGGTGCTCAGGCTTAGGGATGCTAAGTTCTGGTACTTGATTAGCCAAATATACCAGAAACCAACTAAAAACTTGGCCAAATTCAACCAAACTTGGCAGATAGATCAAGTCGACCCTCCAAATCACGAATATTC